CGGAGATGAATAGGGCATAGATCCTGACCTCAAGGAACTCAGTTGAAGTCTAGTCGGGGGGCCACAGGTAAATACCTCTAATGTTCTATGGAGAGTGCTAATGGGTATCTGTAAAATACTAAGGAAGGTGTTAGGGAAGGCTTCGTGGAGGAGGTGACATTTAAGTGGAACCTGGAAGGATGAACAGGGATTCTTCTGGTGGCATGGAGTTGGAATAAAGATAGCAGGCAGGAGCAGAGAAGTCACAGAGGCACAGAGCTGTGAAGATGATGTGTCCCTCAGCTGCCCGAGGCTGTGATGCGCCCCACAGCATGGCTCAGCCCCCAGAACACTCGCTGGTTTTAGCCCCTGCATTTTGTCCCCCACCGGTCCCACAGACCTTTCCAGTGACCTCTTGTTTGCTCCCAGGACCCTCTCCCTGCCCTCCTCCCCATGTCATTCAGTGATACCAAGACTAAGAAATCGACCCTAGTTTTAGATCTTTACAGGGCAATAAGACTTTCATTTTATTCTGATTTCCATGTCAGACTTGACACTGAATGGCCTTTCTCCTTTTAGAAGTAAGAGGCATTCTCTTTGGATACACACATACAGGTGCTTCTTTTAAAATGAGCACTATGTGTAGAAGCATTCAGAGTTGAAAGCATGCAAGTACTCAACCTCTAAAATTTTGAAAACATAAGGGCCATATCAGAATCATATGAAATATACTGTCTTTGGCAGTTTATTCTCAAAAATAGGACTAAGCACAACAGTGAACAGATCACAGCTTGGCCAAGAATCTTTACAAAGATGGTGGTGGTCATGTGATTAAACTGTCAAATCGTTCATGATGAAGACAGCCCTATCATATAATGCTCTTTGGGACTTAAGGGTATCTATTTAGATAAGTCAAAGACCTATTGAAATTTTTTTCTTATTGATTTGTTGTGATTTTTGTGTGTGTGCATTTTAGGAATCTAATAGAATTTCAAGGCTGTCAATTACCTACAGAAATCTTATCGCTCATTTATGCATTTGAAATATTATTTTGTTCATTATACTCACGTTAAGCATTGAGTTATACTGATATTAAGTCAGTAATTAATACTTCTTAATTTACCAAGAATTCCATTTAATACTGAACAAGCTTCAGTTTGTTTTAATAAATTTAAAGAAATTTGCCATTACAGAATATAAGAAATTGGGATCGCATTTGTTATACTTGAAGTGAAACCCCTTCTAATTATGTTTTTTGAGGTGCCTGTGGGGCCTTCTTTCTGCTGACACTCACGCCGTTGCACCATTGTATCCTGGTAGACTACAGCCAACTAGAGGTGCAGGTGGGGGGCAGTGGGGGGTGGGCGGTGGATCTAGCCTATGTGCTAGATTCCTTTGGACTTGTTAAAACTTTTTACAGAAAACTTTATGACTCTTAAAAAAAAACCCTGTTAACCTACTTTGAATGTTTGTGTGCCGCCCCCACCTCCGCACCCAATGCATATATTGAAGCCCTAATTGCCAGTGTGATAGTGGGAGGAGGTGGGGCCAGTGGGAGGTGATCAGGCCATGAATGAGATTAATGACCTTATAAGAAGAGACACAGGAGAGGTGACACCTCTCCACCACGTAGGGGTGCAGCAAGAAGGCAGCTCTGCAGACTGGGAAAAGGGTTCTCACCACACCCCCGATCTCCTGGCACCTTGATCTAGGACTTCCCAACCTCCAGAACTGTGAGAGTGTGTTGTCCTGTAAGCCACCCAGCCTGTGGGATTTTGTTGCAGCAGCTTAAACTAAGACAAGGTGTATTAGTTTCTTCTTGCTGCTGTAACAAGTCACCATAAATCCAGTGGCTTAAAACAACAAAAATTTATTATCTTATGGTCTTGTAGGCAGAAGTCCAAAATGGGACTTCCTAGGCTGAAATCAAAGCGTTGGCAGGGCTGTGTTGTTTTCTGGGGAGACGGTAGGGGAGAATCCATTTCCTCGCCTTTCCCAACTTGTAGAGGCTGACCCCGTTCCTTGGCTCCTCCCCTCTATCTTCAAAGCAGGCAACGTTGGATTGAGTCCTTCTCCCATTGCATCACGCTGCCTCTGTCTTCTGCCTCCCTCTTCCACATTTAAGGGCCCTTGTGATTATGCACGGCCTACCTACCTAGATAATCTCCCTATTCTAAAGTGGACTGATGAGCAACCTTAATTCCATCTGCTACGTTAATTCTCCTTTGTCCTGTCACATAATATATTCACAGGTTCCAGGGATTATATGTTGTGAGGGTGGCATGACTCTGCCTACAACAGTCAATATAATCCTTTGGGGATTATTTAATATCCACTGTTTATTCAACATGTAGTGAAAGTTTTTGAGGCTCTGCTTTTCTCCAAGAACAGGAAAGAGAAACGACCCTTCGCCTTCTAGGAGCTGGCCATCTGGTGAAGGGAAGTCAGTCTAAAACGAGTCGTTGTGGCCCTCTTGAGGGAAGGGTGCTGAAATGCGTATATGGGCCACATTCTGTGGGCAAGTGGGGTCTGGCTGTGCCTGGGAATGCAGAGTAGGGAAGAAACGAGTGTCCTGAAAGAGGAGGAGAAGTTTGCGAAGGAGGGAGGTCGGTAGGGTATTCCAGGAAAAGAGAGAACCATCTGGATGTGCGTGTTGGGAAGCCCTGGGACTTGGAGCCTGGAACCTGGTGGGGAGTGTGGCAGGGCCTGAGGCCACACAGGACTGTTGGAGCTGGACTGTGAAGGGGCTTGAGTGCTTTATGGGAGTTAGGACTTGACCCCCCATTGTTTAGGCCCAGAGGTTACGGTTGGCTGCCCTTTGGCAAATCAGCCGCAGAGCTGCTTCCTTTGGCTGCAGCATTTTTTAAACCCAGAGTTCACCACTGCCAAATGTACTACAGCCATCCACTTCCCTTGCTTTACTCGTGTGTGCTGTTTACCTGGCCCCTTGTAGGTAGGGGCTAGGGAAGGGGATAGAAACCATTGAAAGTTTAAGACAGGAGAGTAACGATCAAATCGTATATGTCGTGCAGTAAACACCTTGTTTGTACTTCTCTTAAATGTTTTCCCCACAGTCTTAAAAGTCAGATTTTATAATGCATTTAAGTAGAAAATAGGAATAAGGGTATAAGGAAGGCAGCTATGTTGTACAGGAAAACATGCTGAACTTGAACTCACACCGTCCTGAGTTTACCTTTAAGCTCTGCCACGCGGTACGTGTGTCACCTTGGATGAATCACCTAGCTTCTGTGAGGCTCATTTTCCTAAACTGGTTAATATTAGAGAGCACTTTTGTCTGTGCCCACAACAGGGCTGTAGGGGAGAGAACGAAGTCGTGCTAGTGAACGTACTTCACAGGGCCAGGGATGTCAGGCAGGCTCTCAACCCTTGTTTGTTACCTGGTAAATAAGTGAACGTTATGGCCGTACTTCATTTTTAGTTTGAGTCCTGCTCTTCAAACGCCTGAAGGTACTTTTCTGAACCATATTTATTATTTATCTAGACTTTGTGGGAAATTTAACTGAACCCCTATTGACCTGTCTGCAGCCAAACGCTGAATGTTTCCTTTGTGAGAAATACTATCTTTGTATTTAGACATATATTCGTTCCACAGATACTTAGTGACTACCCTCTGTGCGCCCTGTTGTGCTTAGAACTGCGGGGAAGCAGCCCAGCCCCTGCTTACATGGTTCATAATCCCACTGATGGAGAAGCCAGAGGACGGGGCCATGTGTAACTTCGTGCCACGTGGGTGGTATGCAGAAGTGCTTTTAAGTTGAGAGCAAAGCGAAAATTAGCCTGAGTTGGCCTTGACAGAAAAACTTTCATGGAAAAGATGAAAGTTCAGCGGACCCTTCAAGGCTGGTGTTATGTATGTTTGGAATAAGTACAAAGGGCATTAGGAGGAAGCTCGTGTGAGCAGTGGTCAAAGGACAGAGCAGGCCACCGGCTTAGTTAATTATTCTTTCCTTCTGGAAACACTTTTGTCTTTGCCAACCATGGTTGTAGGTTTCTTCCTACCTCTTTTTATTTTATTTTACTTATTTTTTAATCCCTAGCTCCACATGCTGACACATGGCAGGTGCTTTAGGGTAGGGTTTTATTATACTAGATACCAGCCATCACAAATAGAGTCCTTTGTATCTTTGTGTCATTTTTGTTCATCTGGGGAAGTAGGCCATCGGGAAGATGGAGCTTTGCTGTGTTGGGTGGGATCTAGTATTGCCCCTGAAGCTTTTAACTCTGTTGCTCTGTGGAGCCCTGTCTATAAACTTGGTATCTCCAGCCTTAGAATCCATCCCCAGGATACTCGGAAGAAGGAGTATTTGTCTATAAAATTTTAGATATCAGACACATGAGGAAAGGAATTGGCCTTTATTGAGCACATGCTATATAGTTACTAGACACGCATTATCTCATTTAATCTTGGAGTTCCTTAGAGATCATCTCTTCCTAACATCTTGGATCATATCACAACTCTTATAGGAAGAGGGAACTGTCAATGAGAGACCAAGGCCTAGGAATGTGGGTGACTTTGGGAAAGTTAACCAACAAGTCAGTGATGACAGATGATCCCTGAACAACATGGGTGTGGATTGTGTGGGCCCACTTATATGTGGATTTTATTTTGATAAATGCAGTACAGTCCTGTAAATGGATTTTTCTCTTCCTTATGATTTTCTTAGTAACATTTTTTTTCCTCTAGCTTTATTATAAGAATACAGTATATGATACATATACAAAATATGTGCTAACTGACTTCTGGTCAACAGGCTACTAATAGTTAAGTTTTGGGGGAGTCCAAAGTTATATAAGGATTTTCAACTGTGGGGGTGTTGGTTCCCCTCAACCCCTCATTGTTCAAGGCTCAACTATATATGAGAATCTAAAACCAAAGTTGTCCGGTTTGTAGCTTCAAAATTTGTCTACAACCTGCATTCTATCCTCTATTAATTTAAAATGTATTGGAGGTGAGTGTAACGTATCTATCCATATAACTCTTTGCTTTCTTTTGATTCTAGATTTCACACATTGGCAAACTGAGAGATTTTCTTTTGGAACACAGGAAAGATTATATTAATGCTTATAGGTAAGTGCATATTTTTTACCGTGGCTTTGGTGACTGAATTCTTTCCCACATCTGTATTTCTACGGAGCCTCTCATCCTTACTTTTTACTAACTCAGAGTTGTCTTGGGGAGGATCAGTTTGGTGGCGGTATATGCAGAGCAGGCAGGAGCTCCTGTATCCTGCAGGGTAGGCTCTGCTAGCCCGCATGCCCTTGGGGTCACGATATCCCCACAGTGTGATCTTCTCTGCTGATGCTCCCACATGTTTGTATCTCTATATGTACCACAGATGTTATGAAACACGTAGACACGAATGAGACACAGTGTCTCAGTACGTGTTTATTGAACAAAGGATGGAACGATGCAAGTCATGTAAACACGCATGACACGAACTCTTGCATCTAGAGAAGGTTTGGTTAGGTTGCTTTTTCAAAAGAGAAAAGCATTTTGATTGAGACTTCCAAAATGGGTTCTGGAATAGACTCCAGCTCTCAGCAGATGCAGGAGCATCACAGGGCAGATACCTTGTCCCCTGTGCTTCCCTGAGGTTTTGCACCTGGTAATGGTGTGGCCTGTCTACCGTAGGACTGCACTTCAAGTGTCCTGTGTGAATTAATGAGAAGGTTGGGTGGGACATATGAAATGTCATCATCGGCAACTTTATACTTCTAAGTGTATTTCATTGCATAATTTTGGAATGTAGTGAATTACTCTTAGTGCATAGTACCAAGAAGACCTTATTTTTAAGTTCTCAGTTGAAGTGATAGCTCAACACTAGATGGCAGTGTGAATTTCATTTCCAGAGGTGTACATGGATATCAAGTACTAATTTTATACTCCATAAAAATGGAAGCTGTAGTCATTTTGGGAAGCTTAACAAAACTTGCATAAACCTCTCTGTCCAGCTCCTTTTTCTGGAGTACCCGACAACTTAGGTTACGTAAGTGATTGTAGAGGCCTTTCATGGAAATCCATTGTTCACTTCCCTTTGCCTTGAAAAGGCATCTAACAAGGCGAAGGTTTTAAATGTTGGTTTAGTTCAGGCCACCCCACTCCCTTATTGGCCTTGTGAACCTGAGAAAGTCAATCTGTAAAACCCAATGCCGTCTCTAAACCAGGGGTCAACAAATGACCACCTGGAGGCCAAGTCCACCCTGCTGCCTGTTTTTGTACAGGCTGTGAACTAAGAATAGTTTTTAAACAGCCGGGGGAAAAGAACAAGATTTCACTACATATGAAAATTAAATGAAATTCACATTTGAGTGTCCCTAAATAAAGTTTATTGGAACACCACCAAGCCCATTCATTTACGTGTTATCTTTGGCTGCTTTTGCACTACGACAGCAGAATTAAATGACTGTGACAGACTACATCGCCTGCAAAGTTGAATGTATTTACTGTCTGGCCCCTTTCAAAAAAAGCTTGTGGAGTCCTGCTCTAAACAGAGGGGCTGATAATCCCTCCCCGGCTAGTTGAGAGATTCACATAAGACAGTATCATTGAAATGCAACGCATTTTTTCCTTGCATTTATAAGATTATTGTATAAGGGTGCTGTTCTGGAACTTTGAAGTAGTTTTAAACTTGTGATTAGAATAGTGATATTAAGGCATTTATTTCCCCTCAGCTCCCACACACTGTGTGTCCGTGTTTGCAGACCACTCCGAATCCACTCCCTGATGTCACGCAGGATAGCCGGCCGCTGGCCAGGACTTCCTCTTTCCCAGCTACCGGCAGCGGATGCTCAGGCTGACGCCCGGGATCTCCGGGGGTCGGTCCTTCCTGCTCTGCCTCTTACTGGTCGTGTGGCTCGAGCATCAGATAGAGCTCTAGTTCCTGAGGCTTTCTTAGTCTTGACGAATCCATCACCTTATTATGGAAGCTCAGTCTTTTACTCCTTTTCCCAGTGGCAGCCGTTCATTGCTGATTCATGCATTCTGTGTTCCGCTCCTGCCCTGTTATGGTCCTTTTGACAGATCAGGGGCTTGGGGGGGTCAGTGACACCTAAGTTCAGCCCCACTTCTGCCAGGTATTAGTCATGTGAGTGTCTAGAGCTCACTTCCCATCTTGTGCTTGTTTTCTTTTTTCAATGTGGATGATGCTCTTCTGAGGATTAGAAGGGATGTGTGCAAGTTCCTGACACAGAAAAGTCCCGTGGTGAAGGGTAACTGGACTGGAACCCCATGTGACCTATGATGAAGTTATAAGGGTGGGCAGTTAGAAAAGAACACACCTGTCCTTCCTGCCAGAGAGAGGTGGGAGGGAGGGAGGGAGGAGGGGAGAGAGTTGGGATGCAGGGGTCAGGTCAACATGACGGAGATGGGTGAGTGATCAGCTTGATCACTGGTGATATCTAGGATGGCAGGCAGAGCTTAGGTCTGAGAGTGGGTGGCCTTATTGAAGGCTCTGGAATTAGACAGACTCACTCAGCCGTTCCTGCCACTGAACAGTCGCAGTCCCTGGAGCACAGAGATCGGGGGCAGCCCCCTTTCTGGCATATGAGAGAGAGGAGGACAGCAGGGCTTCTGCTGTCTATAAGCAAGCAGACCCCAAAGAGGAGAGAGCAAGGGGCCATGGCTAGGTGCATGTGCATGTCCCTGTCTGTGCCTGGTTCCTTCTGCCAGCTTACCGATCAGAGAAGTCCCCCTTCTCCCCTGCCAGGAGGCTGAGGAAGGCACTTGGGGTCACACCAGGGGAGCTGATTCACGCAGAAACATGAGGACTAGGGAGCAGGCATCTCCTCAGTGACCTGCGTTCTCTCCGGATCGAGAAGGGCTGCCCTTCTTGGTTCCCATCAAGTTCCCCTCCGGCCGGTAGTGGATGGTCTGCAGCCTGCCTGTTTACCGCTCCTGCTTCTCAGTGCAGTGTGCTGGCCTTGGCCGAGAACATTTTGGATGGAGTATGAGTGTGGAATTGAAAGAAAAATTGCCTTCAGACCCATAAAGCTATGTTAGTTTGACATAATTAGGAAGCTGTAATTTTTTCCATAATGTAGAGCTCAGACTTTATTGACCCATTTAATTTTTTTTAGTAATGACATTTTACTAGAGCAGAACAGCATGCAATGGAGGTAGCCTCTGGCTGGATCTCTTGAATGATTTTAATTAAAAATAATGTCTCCCCTTCTGGTAGATGTACCTTTCTGCAATGTCTTGGCAACAAAACAATACCACTTGGGGGAAAACTTCTTTGGTTTCTGTTTTTACTAATAGAATAACCATACTGTCGATTTCCAGCTTAAAAGGTTAATGTATAATGTTCCTAAAGGAACATCACCTTTTAATTGAGTGATCAGTTTTATCAAATTAACCTTTAGACCTTTTCAGTTTCACTGAGCTGAGTTTCCATTAAATCAAAATATAGAGTAGGAGGATGTTAATCTAATGTTCTTGGAATTAGTCATTTATAGGTCTCTTCCGCCCAGAGGGTGCATGTTCACTTGGAAGTGAGTACCTTTCTTGTTTACTTTTCCCTGACCCCTCTCGCCTCCATTTCTGATGAGACCATTTCTGTTAGGGAGGAGCCCAAGGCTGGAGGTCCCCCCTTCTCCTTGCTCTCTCTCCACTGCTCTGACTGGTGGCAGGGGTTGGGGAGGAGAGACAGAGCAGGCACCTTATGTGGGGCACATTCTGTTAGCATTGCCTAACATTACCATGTGAAGTCAAACTAGGTAAGCAAACGAGATGCTAGGGAGTATTGGGATAGGGAAACAGTCATCTGTCATTCTTCCAAGTTCCACTGAGGGTAGGGCCACCTATTTTCCAAGAACCCAGGAGCTTCCTTCTGTCCTTCTAACTCTCCCCCAGAAAATGAGGAGCTGGAGTTGGGGAATAGGAAGGTACCATACCCAGAGAGGAGGGCAGACTTACCCGGTGGCTGGGACTGAGAACCCTGAGCTCACTCCTCCCTTTTCTCTTGGAGGGGCCTGTCATCAGGATGGAGGCAGTGGCTTTTCCAGGGAAGGCTCTGGAAGAGCTCTGGGGGGGTGCCTGTAGGTCTTGGGGGTGGGATAAAGTCAACTGGGGAGAGGCCTCCTAAGGAGCGCAGTTGCAGCTGTATATCAGGCCTGTTCTGCATGCACGGAGTCAGGCCGTTCAAAAAGTGTTTGATTACAGTGTACTGATTTATCAGCCTGCCAAATCCTAAGCATTGCTCTTGATGATGGGGATATGGCAGTGAACAGACAAAAATCCTTGCCTTTGTGCAACTTACATTTTTGTGGGGGAAGACAGACAAGAAACAAAATTAAAAAGTAAAACTATGTGGGGCACCTGGGTGACTCAGTCGTTAAGCATCTGCCTTCAGCTCAGGTCATTAACTCAGGGTCCTGGGATTGAGCCCCGCATCAGGCTCCCTGCTCAGCGGGAAGCCTGCTTCTCCCTCTCCCACTCCCCCTGCTTGTGTTCTCTCTCTCGCTGTCTCTCTCTCTCTGTCAAAAAAATAAATAAAATCTTAAAAAAAAAAAAAAGTAAAACTATGTAGAATGTTAGGAGGAGGGGGAGGGGAAAGTGGCTACCACATGTCAGGAAACAGTCTTATAAAGGTAGATTAGGGAAGACCTCATTAAGAGGGGGACATTCAGTAAACACCTAAAAGAAGTAAGGGATCAGTTTATATAGATATCTGGGGAAAGAACGTTCCAGAAGAAGGCAGCTGGCAAGCATAAAGATCCTGACATAGCGCATTTGGAACATCGCAGGAGCAGCAAGGGGGCTGGTGTGACTGGGGCGGGACGGAGGAGGATAGGTGAAGATGAGCTCAGAGAGACGGCAGGAGCCCGATCTTAGAGGTTTTGCAAGAACCTTGGTTTTTATTGCTCGGTAGGCAGCCACTGGAAGGTCTTGTATGGAGGAGTGATAGGACATGACTGACTTTGTAACAGGATCAGTATGGCTGGTGTGTTAGGCTAGGCCGGGCAGCAGACATGCTGGGAGACTACGGTTAAGTCCAGGTGAGGGATGTCAGTGCCGGGGACCAGAGACGTAGCCACGAGCGTGATAACAAGAGGTCAGATTCTGGAAAT